TTTCCTTTACACGGATCAGTCGTCCTGGTGCCTTTGCAGAAAAACAGCCCCAAAGCATGATGTTTCCACCCCCATGCTTCACAGTAGGTATGGTGTTCTTTGGATGCAACTCAGCATTCTTTGTCCTCCAAACACGACGAGTTGAGTTTTTACCAAAAAGTTCTATTTTGGTTTCATCTGACCATATGACATTCTCCCAATCCTCTTCTGGATCATCCAAATGCACTCTAGCAAACTTCAGACGGGCCTGGACATGTACTGGCTTAAGCAGGGGGACACGTCTGGCACTGCAGGATTTGAGTCCCTGGCGGCGTAGTGTGTTACTGATGGTAGGCTTTGTTACTTTGGTCCCAGCTCTCTGCAGGTCATTCACTAGGTCCCTCCGTGTGGTTCTGGAATTTTTGCTCACCGTTCTTGTGATCATTTTGACCCCACGGGGTGAGATCGAGGGAGATTATCAGTGGTCTTGTATGTCTTCCATTTCCTAATAATTGCTCCCACAGTTGATTTCTTCAAACCAAGCTGCTTACCTATTGCAGATTCAGTCTTCCCAGCCTGGTGCAGGTCTACAATTTTGTTTCTGGTGTCCTTTGACAGCTCTTTGGTCTTGGCCATAGTGGAGTTTGGAGTGTGACTGTTTGAGGTTGTGGACAGGTGTCTTTTATACTGATAACAAGTTCAAACAGGTGCCATTAATACAGGTAACGAGTGGAGGACAGAGGAGCCTCTTAAAGAAGAAGTTACAGGTCTGTGAGAGCCAGAAATCTTGCTTGTTTGTAGGTGACCAAATACTTATTTTCCACCATAATTTGCAAATAAATTCATTAAAAATCCTACAATGTGATTTTCTGGATTTTTTTTCTCAATTTGTCTGTCATAGTTGACGTGCACCTATGATGAAAATTACAGGCCTCTCTCATCTTTTTAAGTGGGAGAACTTGCACAATTGGTGGATTACTAAATACTTTTTTCCCCCACTGTATATGGTGATCACTGATATAGTCCTGAGGTCACTATAGTTAACTTTATCCAGTGAGCCAAACAACCTGGAAAGGAGTGCAGCTAAACAAATTCAAACATCAGAGGTAACGTAACGTGACGGTGAGTCATTGTCAAACTCATTTTTGGTCAAACAAGACTGCCTGTTCCCCGCTTCCCATATATGCCCCCTCCCTGCCATCTACATAGTTGTGATCAGTAGTTTTACATTTCATTTTTCTTGGTGTACCTCATGTACTGTAGTGTCCCTGTTTTTGCATTCCAACTCTTCTCTCCCCTCCGTGTCCATGGTAACCTGCTGAATAACAGACACATTTCTGTACCCCCCCTCCCAACCATCCTTATAGGCTACACATTCAGGCTATAACCCTGTTTATTTGCCCTGATAGCTCACACAAGTCTGTTATCCACAACTATCTGCTCACTGTTTACAAAGTCTCTGGCAATGTGAAAGTTTTGAGCATAATGTTTCAGATCAGGGCTATCCAACCCTGTTCCTGGAGAGCTACCGTCCTGTAGGTTTTCACTCCAACCCTAATATAGCACACCTAACTTGTGTTAGGGTGCTGTCTGTTTCTGAGAAATGATTTTTCCAAGCAGGACTGGCTGAACTGAATGGGGAAGGAAAGAACCCACTTGTTCACTGTGTCACTCCAATTCAAACTGTGATTGTTGAACCTAGACTTAATTTACTGCTTGATCTGTCTTTTTGATGTGTTAAGTGCATCTCTGACCACACATTTCAGCATACCGTCTCAACAACCTCACACCCAGTCCTGTCCAGACCCACTGCCCCCACCAAATCCTAACCACAACCAATGAGCATAACTGGGTAATTTTCCATTGCACCTCTCTCTCTCTCTCTCTCTAACACATTCTCTCTGTAGGGGTTTTCCCGTGAGGAGGGCTGGATTTGCTTTATTTTCTTGACATGCATCATCTTAATATGTAGTAGTAGAAAACTATTATCCCAAGGGGGAACTGGTTCAGTTGTATTGCTGCTTATTTAATCATTTTATTACAACTTGTCTGATTCCTAACTGACTCCAAACCCTCCTTATAGGCTACCCTGTCAGGCTATAACCCTGTTTATTTGCCCTGATATCTAACAGTAGTCTGTTATCCACAACTATCTGCTCATTGTTTAACTAAACAGTCTGGTGTGGTTGACTTGTTATGCATAATGAGCTGGTCACTGTGGCTTCTTTTTTGTGAGCTGTAAATGTACAGGATAGAATTAGCAGATGAAACTCATATTGTGTATCGGGGGCTGAGAGTGTGAGGCATATTTAGATTCATAATAGCATCACACTTTTGTGATAGTCTGCCCCAGATGGGTGGTTATGCTCTTGACATATGTGTTGTCAGAGCTGACAGAGGGTGGATGGGGTGAGAATGTGAGATGCATAGGGGAGCCTGCCTTAGGCCATCATGGGGAAGCTGATTTTTTGTCCTGGGTGGGGACTCTGGAGCTGTTTTTCTTCATCATAATGTATCTGCTCATTGTATTCCATTCTTTATGGTGTTGAAGGTATTGTTTTCTGATTGCTGTTTTGGACTGTCTTCATCACTTATCTATAGCAGGGCAGGACACTTTTGTTCCAGTCCAGCTTCATGGTAAAACACTTCTTCAAACTAATAATGGTCTTGAATGAAGATCATTAACATTCAGTTTAATCAGTTGTGTTATAGATTGGGATAAATATATGGGCTGCTTAGGTAAACAGACTGTGAATACAATAAGGCATGTCATACTGGAGTCAGGGATGGAAACCAGAAAAGACTCATGTTCTGTTTTGGTATTTACTGTTCATCTCCATAGTGACCACTTGAAACAAATAGACATTTCTGTAACTAGCTTTGGTGGTGTAATTGAGCTGATATGTAAATTCCCCTGTAGAGCTGCTTTGTGTTTGGCTGAGAGACAGCTGTGGGAACAACCCTGAAACAGAATACCGGATTAAAAGTTGAAACACTTTCAATCAGTGATGTGTATCCAGATATGGATTGTGGTCAATAGGAGTGGAACTCTTTAAACCTGTTCCCTCTCCTGTCCCTTTCCTCTTTGTAGGGCTGGGTATGGCCTCACCAGTTTTATAAACAGATGTTAACAGATGTGATTGTACTGATATTATTTTGTGTTGTGCTGTGTAAATAAACACATGCCCAGCCAGCGATCCCAGTTCTTTGGTGTTGTTTATTCTGACAATAGACAAGGAAAGAACACATAAGATGTGCAGCACCAGGATATTGATGGCTGTAGAATCCCTTGCATGTAAATAGTAGACTGGGCTTTTTATAATCAAATAGAATAACAACGAAAATAAATAGGACGGAATACAGATTATGCATGAACTGACACTAGACAAGGAAAGAGAACTTGCATTCATTTTGACATTATGACTGCATTCTTGATGGTTTTGTAGTTGGCTAAGTGGACTGTCAATATGTTTACAAGAAACCCGTAAAATGGAAGAAGGAGAAGACCTTGAACAGTCCAGATCGCTGTCTGAGCAGAATATATGAACTCAAGCATGTGGTCCCTGTATACAGTATTTTAATCTGGAGGCCCCTTTCTGGTCCACCTCTGCAGAACCCCTAATCACTAACATAAATTAACTTCACCAGACATGCAATTACAGTACAATGCAAATACTATCAATAGTAAAAACATAAAAATAAAAAAAATACTAAAATAACATAATAACTTCACAATGAACTTCATATCAACCATACAGATGTGCAAAACCAGGGCCTGTCCTGGCCTTTTTGTCTCCTAGGCAAAACTAGAATAGTACCAGTAAGCAGAATGACGTTGAAAATACTTTGAAGTTCTATTTAGGTTCTGAATTAAAGTTGAAAATACATATTTTACAGATGTTGAACATAAGTATTTTCCGGACGTTCAAAATACGTATTTTTCAGACGTTGAAATCAGGTTAATTTTTGTTTCGGAATGAAAGTTCAAAAGTCGTAATTTAAAGACATCTATGTTTAGGTCAAATCAAGGCTGGTCCAGACCGAACCAAATCTGAACCAAACATAGACGGTCCGGACAGGACCAAAAGAAGACGTCCAAAAGGCGTCGGCGTCAGTCCGTGCATGCTGAGGTATAGCCTACAGTGTCGCCTGAAATGGAATTTAATGAATAAAGCCAATTCTACATTGGTTTTACAAACAGGTCGTTGCATTGGCTTTATTCGTCTTGATTCCTGTGATTTGGCTATTTAAGCTCTGAATATCAGCTACCCAACTTTATCAGGAGGAGTTATCCTGAGCCTATTTGCATTGTGTTTACACAGCAGGAAATGCAGAAGTATATTATTTTTTGCTATGATCAGCGGTTGTGAGTAGCCTGATTGTCCATTCCATATTGTCAATTTTTCTTTGACCTGTCTTGTTTTTAAGGTATGATGTTTGTCAACATGTCAGCGCATTTCTGATTTGATTGGGCGCCATTTAGCTTAGGCTATTTGATCGGAGAAACCTGCAATATATTGTCATACATTTTATCTCCAGCCTGTAGGCTACAGAAAAGGCCACATAATCTTTCTACAATATGCTTTACCTGCTACATGATTTATCTTAGATTATTTTTGGACGGAATGTTAGTGGAGCGCCGCATCGATGCGTCTCTCCAACAGCACAGTTGAGATGCGTGCTGGGAATGGACAACATCAATATTTTGCATCCCTGCCTTTGACAAAGTGGTTTATTATAGAGCATCAATCTGCCACCTAATCGTGCCTAATGAGCGAGCCGGCCCTGTGCAAAACACATAAACTTGGTGAACCAAAAAGTATATGGTTTATCCCCCTAGAGACACACCAGTGTGTCAATCAAAGTTACATAACCAAAAAATCCCCATCAATATCCATCAGTTTAAGATAGAGATCCTGTATCTATTTTTTTTTGCATTGGATGCGTCTCAATCCACCGCATCCGCCAGTGTTGCACTTTCTGCGGTGAAAGATGGCAGAGTTAGAGCAGTGTTTATCAGACCATGAGACATCCCAAAAATCGGTGTTATCACGTAAACGTCTGTAGCGTCCAAATAGTTTGACCTACCACTCTATGGAAAGGCAGGTCCCTCTGTGCAAACTTGTCACAGAGACCTCTACATGACTTTACTTCCTGACCCTAGGAAACCCAAGAGACTCAATCCCCCTGTTGCTAATGAACAGAGTTAAAGCTATCAAACTGTAACAACCCGGCTTTCTAATAGAGCTTACTGTTTCCTCAAGTTAAACCATAGGTTTGAATAGGAACTAGACAACATTCACCATGTTAGAAAAATATCTGAGATGTTCACATCTTAACACCCTCCTTGCAGGTCCAGCTCTTCTTCTGTTCCTTGGCTCACACAATTTCAACCTTTGCCTCTAATAACTTTAACTGGGTCTGGTGTTCCTCTGAGTGGACTTCTGAAGTGGACACTGGACAAACACAAGAAAAAAGACCAGTCAAATACATCTGCCAAAAGAGAGCACAACAATGATAATATACTGTATATTTTAGTCATACAGCTCAGCTTAGAAGCAGAAGGCAACAAACTGTCAGGTGCCCAGTCTAAGTGACTGTATAAAAAGACAGCTAAGTGACTGTATAAAATCCAGCAAAGCACGTGTTAAACCTGTATTCTCCTATAGAGAGGGAAATGTTTAGCCAGTAAACCCTGTATCCCCGCCCCCGCCTGCTTACTTGATCTGGTCCATCTGCACAAAGCAACGATGATGAAGAGGATGACGAGGAAGGCCATTGGGGCTAGCACGCCAATAGTGATATACCTGCCAGTGCCATCAGGGGTCAAAGTGGGGGCATTTGGATCTGTTTGTGGGAGAGGAGGACAGAGAGAGCAGTTGAACACAAAGAAAATCAATTATCATCATCATCATCATCATCTAACGCTGTTATACACTACTACACATTGCTGATCTTCAGATTTGATATGTAGAATTTCCTTGATGAACAACAACAAAGTCTCTCTCAAACACGAGCAAGAACTCAGAATTTGTATCTTTATTCTTGGTGCACACGATCTTGAGCTGAGCATTGCTGTTCTGTGGGTTTCTGCACTCACCAGGAAGCCTGGCTAAACCTCCAGATCCACCTGTTAAAGACAAACACACTTAGAATACCCAGACTGCTGATCTCTGTGTTATGGAATTTGCTCTTGTAATGTAAAATTACCATAAGATATGTTTTGTTTGAAATACAGTTTGAATATTGAATGGCACTCACCCGTCCCATCAGTTGAAAAAATGCTGGTGCAATCTGTAATGACAGTACAGGAATGGTTAGTTGAAACAATGCTGGACCAATCTGTAATGACAGTACAGGAATTATTTCATACAACAACAGAGGGCTGGATCAGCTGGGAAATGCTCATAGCAGTGACTGGTTTATATCACTGCTATAGAGGGATACACCATGCTCTATAATAAACTACACCTTCCAATAGCATTAATAATTGACACCTATGACAATTTTCCTGAAATCTGCTTTGTTTGTTCCTTCTATTGACTATCCTCTTCCCCAGGCTGTACTGTCATGGGCCCTCACAGAAACTCACTGGCTTCAATGGCAGGCATGGAGTTGTCTTGGCCCTCAAAGACTGGCTTGATGATCTCTGAGTCACACACAGCGTAGATCTTCTGGTTGTCAACACACACCAAGCATTCTCCAGATGGCAGTGGGGACGTGGTGTTGCAGGGAGGGATTTCAGCCATTTTACCTCTCGACCACAGAGTAAAATTATCCTTAAAATGGTCATAAACAGACTCAACGGTTTGGCATTTATTATCGTTACAGAGGTAACAGACAGGCGAGGTCTTCTGAGCTGTAAGAGAGAGAGATAAATACAACAGGAAGAAGAGGGCTAGTTAAACAGAGCACTCATCAGACAATATCAAATATCAAAGTTACTACACTTAGTTTTAGATCAGTCTGGGTCAAAACATTACTCTACATCTCACTGCACTTTAATATAGGAATTATCTTTATGGAATTAAAATGCCCAAATTGTGACATGGTTTGAAAAACCATAATATCGGGGGTGACTTATTTAGAGTGTATAAACAAAGTACAGTATGCATAAATTTTGAGGCCATAATGAACACATGCATGGCAGGCATGAGAACAGCTCACCTTTAACAGAAGCACCAGATACAGCCCAGCCAGCCAGACATAGAGCCAGGCAGACTGCAAAAGCTGAAAACAAAACAAAAAAGGTATCATGCATGTGGATGTCGCTACAAACACCCATTCATATGGTCTTGTTAACGGTTTCTCACTTTCAGCACTCCATATATGACTAAAACTCAAAACACATTGTTGACTTACTTGGATGTATCGCCCCACTCATGTTTGGATGTGGCTGTGGAGTAAAGCAAAAAAAAAAAAAAACATTTAGTCTAAACATTATGTAAACCTTTGCTGCCATTCATCAATCTAATGTCCTCAAGAGTACTGAGCAGGTGGATCTAGGGGTGTGGGGTTACAAATATTTTGACAACACAACAATGACTTTTTCCCCCCAGTCATGAAGTAGCTATATTATATTCTAGTAGGCTATTGTCTAGTACCCACGGGACTGATCATCTCCAGGGGTCTGTTTTAAAAGGTTCTGACTATGTGTGGGATCAAATAAAATAAAATACAATTTTATTGGTCACATGCGCCGAATACAACAGGTGCAGACATTACAGTGAAATGCTTACTTACAGCCCTTAACCAACAGTGCATTTATTTTTAACAAAAAAAGTAAAAATAAAACAACAACAAAAAAAGTGTTGAGAAAAAAAAGAGCAGAAGTAAAATAAAATAACAGTAGGGAGGCTATATATACAGGGGGGTACCGTTGCAGAGTCAATGTCCGGGGGCACCGGCTAGTTGAGGTAGTTGAGGTAATATGTACATGTGGGTAGAGTTAAAGTGACTATGCATAAATAATTAACAGAGTAGCAGCAGCGTAAAAAGGATGGGGTGGGGGGGCAGTGCAAATAGTCCGGGTAGCCATGATTAGCTGTTCAGGAGTCTTATGGCTTGGGGGATATCAACCAACCTCAGGGATATACATTTCAGCCCTATGGTTTTGCGATCCCTTGTCTGTACCTCAACTACCCTAAAGCTATCAGTTTTTATAAAATGTTAATAGGCCTATTTCCACCTTCATTTATCCTGGTTAGTCTTATTGAGGCAATATATAACGCTACAATCCACCTCATTTGGACATTGCAGATCTATCTACATTTTTGGGGGGGCACATTTCGAATCAATCTTTTGAAAGTTATTGGAGCAATGCATTTTGGGCAATGGTGTTGTACACTGCCTTTTTTTAGTGTCCCACATGTTAACAACCCAATATTGTTAATCAATCAGGTTGTCACCGAAATACACTGCTCAAAAAAATAAAAGGAATACTTAAACAACACATCCTAGATCTGAATGAATGAAATAATCTTATTAAATACTTTTTTCTTTACATAGTTGAATGTGCTGACAACAAAATCACACAAAAAGTATCAATGGAAATCAAATTTATCAACCCATGGAGGTCTGGATTTGGATCACCCTCAAAATTAAAGTGGAAAACCACACTACAGGCTGATCCAACTTTGATGTAATGTCCTTAAAACAAGTCAAAATGAGGCTCAGTAGTGTGTGTGGCCTCCACGTGCCTATATGACCTCCCTACAACGCCTGGGCATGCTCCTGATGAGGTGGCGGATGGTCTCCTGAGGGATCTCCTCCCAGACCTGGACTAAAGCATCCGCCAACTCCTGGACAGTCTGTGGTGCAACGTGGCGTTGGTGGATGGAGCGAGACATGATGTCCCAGATGTGCTCAATTGGATTCAGGTCTGGGGAACGGGCGGGCCAGTCCATAGCATCAATGCCTTCCTCTTGCAGGAACTGCTGACACACTCCAGCCACATGAGGTCTAGCATTGTCTTGCATTAGGAGGAACCCAGGGCCAACCGCACCAGCATATGGTCTCACAAGGGGACTGAGGATCTCATCTCGGTACCTAATGGCAGTCAGGCTACCTCTGGCGAGCACATGGAGGGCTGTGCGGCCCCCCAAAGAAATGCCACCCCACACCATGACTGACCCACCGCCAAACCGGTCATGCTGGAGGATGTTGCAGGCAGCAGAACGTTCTCCACGGCATCTCCAGACTCTGTCACGTCTGTCACATGTGCTCAGTGTGAACCTGCTTTCATCTGTGAAGAGCACAGGGCGCCAGTGGCGAATTTGTCAATCTTGGTGTTCTCTGGCAAATGCCAAACGTCCTGCACGGTGTTGGGCTGTAAGCACAACCCCCACCTGTGGACGTCGGGCCCTCATACCACCCTCATGGAGTCTGTTTCTGACCGTTTGAGCAGACACATGCACATTTGTGGCCTGCTGGAGGTCATTTTGCAGGGCTCTGGCTGTGCTCCTCCTGCTCCTCCTTACACAAAGGCGGAGGTAGCGGTCCTGCTGCTGGGTTGTTGCCCTCCTACGGCCTCCTCCACGTCTCCTGATGTACTGGCCTGTCTCCTGGTTGCGCCTCCATGCTCTGGACACTACGCTGACAGACACAGCAAACCTTCTTGCCACAGCTCGCATTGATGTGCCATCCTGGATGAGCTGCACTACCTGAGCCACTTGTGTGGGTTGTAGACTCCGTCTCATGCTACCACTAGAGTGAAAGCACCGCCAGCATTCAAAAGTGACCAAAACATCAGCCAGGAAGCATAGGAACTGAGAAGTGGTCTGTGGTCACCACCTGCAGAACCACTTCTTTATTGGGGGTGTCTTGCTAATTGCCTATAATTTCCACCTGTTGTCTATTCCATTTGCACAACAGCATGTGAAATGTATTGTCAATCAGTGTTGCTTCCTAAGTGGACAGTTTGATTTCACAGAAGTGTGATTGACTTGGAGTTACATTGTGTTGTTTAAGTGTTCCCTTTATTTTTTTGAGCAGTGTACTTATAATAGTAGCCTTACGGGTTTTATTTTTATTAATGCCAATACTGTTTTCTATGCTTAATACTTTGGGATACTGGTGCAATGTGGGATTTTCTGAGGGTTGCCAGACTGGAGTAAAAACCTGTATTTGTCTGTTATTTTTTAGGTATCAATGAAGGTATTTGATTGGGGAATGGGGATACATTTTCATAATAGTAAATGATTTAATCAATAAATGTGGGGAAACAGAAGACTTGCCAAACAAATCTGTTTGGTTTAAATTCCCCTGGTGCAACTGCCTGGTATTTGCAACTATAATGAGTCTGGACTATGATCAATTAAGCCATATCAACGCAATTAAACTGGTTAATGTAAAATAATGAATTACTGTATGTTGGCTTACACTTATGAAACTTCCAAGGCCGTTTCATGATGATTATTACGGTCGTGTCAATCATGTTATTTACTTAGGCTATTGTAACAACGCATATGCCAGCATTGTAGGTCTACTGCTTCTGCCCAGAGGCCTACTATGTTTTCATGGCAACTGCCGTTAGAGCTCACTTTGCCACGTATGAGTCCCTTTTATAGCTTAATAAAAATGGTGCTCCAGCAGGATACCTAAAACAAATGGCACTATACCACTGGTTATAATACATGTAAAGCAATTGCCATGTGTGGTCAACTGATAATTCCAGCACCGACAGCGTCATTGCGCTACTTTGAGACAAGAATAGGAACTCATCTTGATAAATCAATCAATGTCAGATTTTTGTTTTCACTGAATCTCCGTTTGGATATTTGGTTACAATTAGGCTGGGAAATGTTAGCTAAGTTGAGGTGAGGGCTCATGATCATCAGTCTAGCAATTGAAAGCAATGCAGATCTTCTCTACAAAAACACACACACACACACACACACATTAGGCCTATAGCCCACCTGATGAGCTTCCCTGATGTTTTCCTGAACTTTCCAATACCTTTCTGATGCATTTCAGTCACATAGCCTACTGATGCTAACACACATTTCTACACCTTTCCCGTAGGCTATTCAAGTCATTTGACTTTTTTGTTTTGTTTAAAAAGGTCATAAGGCCTACATTGTTTCAATAACAATATAGCTGAAACCATTGGCTTCATTGATTTACTGAATTTATTCTCGTAATTGTAGGCTAATCTACATGCTGATAGTAGGCTAGTCTACTTGCTGATAGATTATTGTAAATATTATTGTAACAGTCGACCTATCTACACTATAACCCCATATGGGGTTACTGACCCCAATCGATTGAATTAATAATAATAAGTGTTTATTAATTTATTTGGCAATGGGGAGAGCACAGTGCATGGAAGAAAACAGCGCTGAGGGAAGGGGTGCTGGAAGTGCTGCAGATAAATTGAAATACATTTGCCAAATTACATCATTACTCCTGTCTTTATAGATAAATGAAATCATTGAAAATACTACACCAGCATAATTTAGCCACAGAGGATCGATAGCTTATTTGATAAAATTGCTGTAGATTGTGTTTTGTCATATTATGAGCTCATAGTCTACAGTCGGAAATCCAGCAATTGGGCAGTCAGCGCGGCAAATATAAAACAGCTGATTGTTGACTTGTGGCTGTCAATGAACAGAAGGCGGCAGCTAGAAGGTATTTCACGATATTTCAAAATACAACTATTTTCTTTATTTTAAATCAAGTTTAATTAGCCTACCAACGTTGAATGACTCGAGTCAAGCATGATACTGTACAACGCAATACAACTACAGTAGCTGTAGTGTACAAACAAATTAAAGTCAACCTATGCTGTGCTGAGCTGAACTCGCTTAGATCACCTCCACAACCTGCTGGTCACCGTGCAGCGAACATATTTTAGTCTTTGATTTCAATGTGTGTACTGGAACTCAAAACAGTATTACCTCAAAATAAAGTGTGGTCAAAATAAAGTGTAGAATAGCATGAAATTAGCTATAAAACTGCAACTGTTTCTGCCCCATGGCAAAATGTATAACAGCAACATTTCCTTGTAGCCTCATGGCAAAATGTGTAGAATAGCATGAGGTAGCTATGAAATTGCAAATGTATCTCTCTGCCCCATGGCAAAATTTGTAAAATTGCAAGAGGTTAGCTGTATATTTTCTGGGTTGTGGGGATAACAAATTACATAATTACTCCTGTCTTTATAAATAAATGAAATCATTGAAAATACTACACCAGCATATTTTAGCCACAGAGGATCGATAGCTTATTTGATAAAATTGCTGTAGATTGTGTTTTGTCACATTATGAGCTCATAGTCTAGAGTCGGAAATCCAGCAATTGGGCAGTCAGCCCGGCAAATATAAAACAGCTGATTGTTGACTTGTGGCTGTCAGACAGCAGCTAGAAGGTATTTCACGATATTTCAAAATACAACTATG